ATCTATCTATCGAACGACAAAGACCAGATGTGTAACTAGCTACCTAGTTCATTGTCTGAACTGAGAAATTTTCAATAAATAATTATATATTTAATGAAATTTTGAACCTTTCCAGCCATCATAAATTTGTTTTAAGTGAATAATGATATAATTTGCCCTGGGGCTGTAATTTTAACATCAATTAAGAAAGAATTTAATTTCGGCGTTTTAGTTTTTAATTTTTCGAAGTCAAATTTACGTTCAATTCGTTGCAGCGGATCCGAGAAATGTTTGCAAATTAATTACAATGTGATGAGCCCGTTCAACGACCTGAAATTTAATTGACTGCCTTACTATAGTCTAAAGAACACAATAATTGTTCTCGCCTTGATTTCACTTCGCCCTCTTTCTGCTTGCGAAACCAAGAAATGGGGGCGCAGAATTAATTCTAAATTACAACCAAGAGATTGACAAAATCCATTGCTGTGTAATCAATAAAGTTTCCTGTAGTTTATTACAAGTTGAGTTAACTAAGTAATATTTTATCTACAGAATGGCGCACGTATTATCAACGTTAATCACTTTGTTTGTTTTTGATCTCTGTTCATATAGGTAGATACGTCAAACATTTTCAAATGTTTCCCTTTGTTTTTGACGGTATTAGAATTCTGTTTCAAATACGTAATCGCAATTCAACGTTTCGAATTATAACGGATAGACAAAACAACAAAGTTTTTGGTTTCTGCAAAACGCTCATTCAAAAGGCAAAAGTCAGTTAAAATCAATTTTATTCTACGGGGATGGAAAAGGATCAGAAGGTTATCTTTAATGTGATCTCAAATTGAAATTCCATGTACGTGCTAATTCAGCGGGTATATTTTGATGATATTAGGATATTGTAATGAAAGTTTTATTGCTAATTTAATTAATTTTTATAACTAGAATTGTTAGTTTTCCGAATATTCTTTAAAGTAACAATTAATAACACTGAACTATTTTAATTATCTTTTAAATGCTTTAACTGATGACAAAAATACTTATAACAAATTGCTAATCCTTAAAATTATTGTAACAGATTAACTATGTGTACTACACCTATCAAGTGGTTCACATTTCTATACGTTTGTTTTTTGCTAAAATGTGCAAAGCTATTATATAAATAAATAATCTACGAGTGTTTGATAAGTTCTGTATTACAATTTCTAACTAAAAACACAATTAACATCTTCAGAAGGTAATTAAAAATAAACATATGACCGAATTACTGTCACCGCTACCTTTTAATCTACACATCGAAGACGCGAACACCATTAAAGACAGTACAACTGTAGGGATAGATATACAGGGGCAAAAAATTAGTATGCTTAGATTTGCAGATGATATAGCAGTATTAGCATCTAGCAAGGAGGACTTAGAGATAGCTTTAAATAAAATGGAAGCGGTAATGACAGATCAGTACTGTATGAAAATAAATAAAAGTAAAACTAAAATACTGGTATGCAAGGGAAGAAAAAGCAGGGAAAGAGCGAATATAAAGATAGGAGACGAAAAATTAGAAGAAGTGGCTGATTTTAGATGTCTAGGAAGTCAGATAAGTTAGGACGGAAGGAGTAGTAGGGATATAAAGCAGAGGATAGCGCAGGGTCGAGTCGCCTCCAAGAAAAGGAAGTCACTTCTATGTTCGGACGGTTAATTTAGAAATTCGAAAAAGATTGTTAAAGGTGTATGTTTGGAGCCCGGCGTTGTACGGGTGCGAAACATGGACAGTGGGCGCGGCGGAAAAGAAAAGGTTAGAAGCCTTCGAAATGTGGTGTTATAGGCGAATGATGAGGATAACGTGGGTAGAAAAGGTTAGAAATGAAGAGGTATTAGAAAAAATAGGAGAACAGAGGACTCTATGGAAGTCAATAAAAAATAGGCGACATAGGTTGGTAGGACACCTTCTCAGAAACAAAAATAGGAGTTAGGAGGGGTAGAGGTAGACCTAGGTTAGATTACTGTTATCAAATAGTTAAGGACGCGGATGTTCTAGTTTTAGGGAAATGCGAAGTTTAGCTCAGGAAAGAATGGAGGTACGTACTATGAGAATAGTTAATTACAATATTATAAAAGGTAAATTTAAAAACATATTCCCGTTTCAATTCAGAAGCTCATTTTATTTGCGTCATCATTAATTCTGTTTATCGATTAAATAGTCAAACGTCCACTTATTGATTTGTCGTAGATACTTCACGTATTCACGGATGATCTCTTCCATGAATTATGTGATTATTGAGGACAGCTAAACGCTAATAAAGCAAACAATTCAAACATAAATGCTGACATTTTCGTTAGATAAGTAAGCACTAACGTGCTCTTAATCCATAATAACAAACGCTAAACAAGTTTATAATTCTTACAGTCGTCAAATTTCTAATGAAACCAAACAATTAAAAATAAAATCTTCTGGAGGTATTTATTCCATTTTATAATAGGCAATTAATATTAGTTACATAATAACTAATTCAAGACTTGGGATACGTTCATCAGGAGAGACTTTAGTTGTTTCTGACCTTTTTTAATTGCTTTCAATCGTAACACTATCGTGCTCATTTATCTTATCAGATAACGATTTATTTCAATACAGTATCCTATTGAAACTGCAATTTAAATTACGTCACCACTATGGCATGTTCTATGGTAGGTTCCATTTGTGGAGCGCTTACTTTGCTGGTACAATGATATCTTGTTCCAAGTTAGGAATATTACTTAGGTATTGTAATAATTTTAAGCGATGTACTTAATGAGATAGAGATTATTTGGACGTAGGTACCTATTCATATTCAGATACTTAAATACAATATGCGTACCTAGATATCTTTATCGGTTACTAATGAATCATTGGTGCTTCCTCTCGCAGGACATAGAACCAGCGATATGCCCACCTTTGGCAGAGAAACGACCTATTAGTGGATGAGTAATGAAGCAATACCGCAATTAAACCTTCACTGGCCACCAGAAAGCATTAATTACAACTGTACAGGTACAATTGCCATCTACCGGCCAGGCTATCATTAAAAAAAGACGTACATATGAATCTGCAACCAACCGTACACCCGAATATAGACTCACGCAGTTTTTTCCAATAGGTAACTTTCAGTTCAAGGTTCTGATTAAACGGTAACATCCTGGATGTCGGAAGTAGACCTAAACAACCCTTTCATTTTTGTTTAAGCATCTTAACTGTCAATTAGCTCTTTCAGTTTCTGCAAGGCAAAATCGTTCTTTATTTGGCGTTTTAATTCGCAAATATCCAATCCGAAAAGTAATATTTTTGGCAATGGTCAACAGACAAGGATAAAACCTCTATCACTTCATCGTGTTATCCTTTACGTCATTATCCTTTTCGACATTCTCTCAGGAAATCAAATTGCGTCCTGCTTAACGCTTTTAAAACCGGAAATTACAGGCATGAGTCAGTGTGTTAAGTTTTATTTGTGTTGTTTGACGTATGTATGTACTTTCGTACAATGTGCCCAGGTAGATACGTGCATGTTATATGTATGTATGCAGAAGGATATTATTAAACGAATTACATTCAAGAAGCACAAGAACCAATAACATAAAATCAACAATCACAGTTCTTCCAAAACGTGATTGATGGGAAATCATTTGAATATTGGCAATTAATATATTTTTTTGGCCCACAGTATCTACACAGGACTCTTAGTAATTATATTCAATTGTGGGCATTAATTTCTGGCCCCAAATAATTTCGATTAAATTGTGTCCTTTTGTTGCCTGGTCCTAGTCAATAATTATTCGTCGTTTTACAGTCTGATCCTCAATGATTTTATCCAATTTGCACCACTTCTTGTCCGACCCTCAGCAGAGTTTTCACAAAAACGCTCAAATTTGTTATCTGGCCCTAATTTTTTCTACCCATTCTAGTGTAAAGTCATAAATAGGCAATTGTATAAATTATTAGTAGTTTTTTCAAAAATTGTACACATTCTGATCTGTACCACAGCTAAACATTCGTTGGAATTGCGCGATATTGTTAACATAAAGTAAGGACACTTGAAGACCTCATTTTCTTTATTGGAATAAAGCGCCTGGTGTGCAAATTTCTAACTCAAGTATACAATCTAAGGGAAAGATAAGGAGAATAGATCTTCTTTAAAGATTATGAAGCAAAAATTGCATTTTTATGCAGAAATTAGGTCAAATAAACCACATTTGTGATGAGAAGTTATTAAATTTCAAAGCAAATCCATAATGATTAGGTAAAGAGATAAAAAAGCTTTCAAAGATTTTAAATTTGTATGTTTATTTTATTTTTTAAGTAGCATTTAATCACTCATAAAGTATAATTGAGTTCTTATTGTTTTCAAAAATGTAAATTAGGGAACAATTATGAAGTCTTTTTGTGAAGTAATTCGAAAAGAATTTTAATCATGTGTCAGGCTGCTGTCGTTGAAAACCGATAAAGAAAGCAATACTGTTAAACCTATCTTTATAAAAACGTTGAAAAATAGTAACAACACATTTTATTTTCACGGAAAAGAAAAGACAAGCAAACGACAATTCTTTAAAACGCTTGAATTAATTGTTCAATTCAGAAGGTAAAGTAAAAATTAAAATTGAAATGGAATAACTATTATAAAAACTTAAAATACTTTTAAATAAACGAAATTATAACAATTTAAAGACAAAGATTAATCGTTTTTAGCAAAGTGTATTGGCAAAAATTTTGATACAAAATTTGATTTGAGAAATTTTCAAAACCCTCGCCTGCTTTATTTGGTGTAAATTATTGTAAGGTAGAAGTGATCTCGATTATCGAATATCTAGACTTTCCATTTAGTATTTGGTAATATTTTAGAAATTTATTGTAAATGATTGATCAAAATTTATTACCTCCTTATTTTTATTTCATTTTTATAGAAAAAGATGAAGTTCGGGTAATATTCGTTTAGTTCCTTAGAAAAATAAAAATTTCGTAAGAATTTTACAAAAACTATTAGTACAATATTACTTACAGTTTTGAATTTAAACTTATGGAAAAACTTAATCGCCTAAAAATGTTCGAAACACGTGTTTTACGCGAGAGCTTTAAGCGTCACAAAAGCGCACAAAACATTCACGGACTTGATTGAAACTGGCAAGAGTATTGTTGACCGAAGCGAGAGTTCAACTTTTCAGAGCGTCGTCGCTGACGCCGGTCGCTGAACACAGTAGTGGCTCTTTGTACAAGACGTTGCCCTCTACAGGGGACGCTTGAAACCCGGTTTGTGGCGCGGTTCGCCATCCAGCAGGAACGAATTGAATCCTGCATCCTGCTGAAACAATACAGGAAACTTTGAAAGCGCGGGAAGGGTTGCGGCATTTCAAATTGTTTTATGTACAGAAATCGTTTTTTCTTTTAGGAATCAAAATTTTGTTGTATTTTAAGGTTTCCATATCATTAAATTGAATTCTCGCCCGACAAATAGAAAGGTGCCTTCTGATAAATCACTTTTAAAAGAGAAATTAACTTTCATTTTTAAAGTTTGATGTCCTTTTCATGTTGAAAAGGATCACTTTAAAATAGGGAATAAAAAATTATATAAAATACATCGTCATTTCTCTATCCCCTCTATCCCCTAAATATAATAGTGACTGTCAGGAATGACGCCTTTATTTATAATGTTTTGAATCATTTAAAAGGACAAGGAGAATTCTTAAAAGTTCATTCAATAACAAAAGGAGTAAATTTCATTTCGTTGGCCGAAATTACTGGAGAAAGTAGATACTATTAGTGTACTCCTCAGGAAGATGTAGGTCCCCTCAACGCTACACAGAACTTATAAAACTTTTTTTTAAGAGCAGTTGTTAAGAGTAATGTGATGTACGTATTAAAAATCAGAATAATTAAAAATATCGTAATAATAGAATCATCCATCCAACAATACGTAAATAACTTTACCTACAAATATTGTGCTTCTTAAATCTTATCATATATTAACAAATTATTGACAGATAAACAGTAAATATTTACTTTATTTATTCAATTTCTCCGACATAACATTCCATGATAAAATTCAAATCCCTTCTTAGTTAGTCACAACTTCTGGTCACTGGCTTATTTTCATTACAATGCAATTGTTTCCTTTCGTTTGAATAATTTGAATAATATAATTTAAAAAAGTAAGTCAAAGTGTAATAATTAACAGAAAGCTCAAGTATCTGCACAAAAGGCACACAAATAAGCATACAGGCACATATTAGATCTCGTTAGCACGCCATAGGCAGTTTCGATAAATTGGAAATTTCCCTGACATTTTTATATTATTTATAAACGACACAAATTTAAGGATTTCGATGAAATTTTTGTCAAATATTCCATTACGATTTGACATGACATCAGTTTAATAATAAAGAAAAACAACTGGAAATTTTCTGTTTGAAAAGCCGAACGAAAACTTAAATACATACATCATATTTTAAATGGAAACAATTACGGGACTGTCAGGAACAGTCTACTTCTCTTTCGCTTCATTTTCCTGGCGTCATGAACAGGAAGAATATAATGTAGTATACTTATTACTAAACAGTAACTTAATCAGAAAATACTGGCGAATATGGAGCAGCATTTTTAAAATAAGAAAACAATTTTCCGGATCCATACGTATGCACCTAATAGCTAAATTCAGTAATCTTAAACTTTGCATGGTTCTGCTGGAAGACACAGGAAGATCTATCTTTATATGTGTATTCACGTAGCTCACCAAAAACTTAATGTACTTTGTTCGGTTATTTATTAACGTTTCTTATTTTAAATCGTTAACAACTTTCTAAAAATATTGTAAAATCGTACTAAAAATTTTTACAGTTTATAAACTTCTTTTTTCCTTTATTTTCCATAAATATGAGATTCTTATTGGGTAAAGGGATCCATAAAAAAAACAAAGGATGGTTAAGAAGCTTCAGTAACCTTTAAATATGCACTTCTACCCACTCCCTTGTGGTATTAAACCCTAATTGGGTATTCAAAAATGTGCTGTACGAGAAAATGGCCTGTATTCTTTGTTTTTCTCAACTAGAAACTAATTACTACCGCCGCGGTAACCACATAATTTGAATTTTAAATCGTCGACATTGTTATGAATATTAAAATTTTAAAATTCCTCAAAACCATCGTTAATACACAGAGACTTAAACTGGTAGGTACGCGGTTATGGGTCGGTCGCTTGGTTTACGTCGCCATTGTACCTACCTACCGTAAGTATCCAGGGTTTCCTTTTACAGATTTCCCTTAACGCACATTTGAGACTGCAACTGAAAGCGCGGAGACCTGTGAATAAATTAAGCGAAATTGATTACAGCGGTGCAACCGGAGCAATATAAGGAGCCGGCCATCGGTGCTTGCACTTTAGATGATTTCACTCGGTATGTGGCCACGTAAGAAGTTCAGTCGCTGATGGAATGAAAGAACACTGTTTTAGTAACGAGACAGAATAACTTTTATCCAAATGCAGTGGCGTTTTTTTCAAACTACTCCTTGGTTGGCAAAACTGAACAAAATTATAAAATATTTATATTCACCGTGCTGAATTTCTGAATCAAATTGACAGTCAGTTTAGGATTCATTTAATTGAAATTGATTACCTGGTTAGGAACTCAATTTTGGCCAAATTGTTTTCCATTCTATTGTATCACTCTCCTGCTTTAAGGAGCAGGAATTAAATACCTCAATGAAACAAAATAATTCGAAGTTGTCTGTATTCTGTCGAAACTGCCAGACGCGGATCGCGATTTCGATCTTTTTGGATCTCATCAGCGCGTCGCAATGAAATTAAAAGAGTAACTAGAGAGGGTAGAGTAAAAAATTAATTAACTAGGGAAGTGCTAATTGTAAAGTCTATTATGGAAGAGATAATAAAGAAGCAGGTAGGGTCGTTTCGACTGTATCATACGATGAGACAAATGAATCTAGACAAAAAAGATATCTACAAGGAATAAAAAGGAACAGGAAGACTTGGAATGATAAAATATAAGAAAAGTTGTAGGCAACAGGAAGCCCATGGCAGGAAAGAATGGAAGATAATAATGTGATAGCATATAGCTTTAAAACAACTTGACTATAAGTATATATATATCAAAAATGTTTTCTCAACTAATTTTCAAATAATAAGATATATTTTTGAAAAATCTTTGTATTTTTCGTTTTCAAAATTAATTTGCATTAGGTACATTCCATTAAGTACGTATATCATTGTTTTTAGGGTTCCATACGTCCGCATGAAAAACGGAACTGTTATACGTAGGATCACTCGTGTGTCCGTTTGTCCGGCTGTCACAGTCAATTTGCTCCTGGACCAATTAAGTTGAGATTGGGTATTTACACATACGAATTTCTGTGACCCAAATACGGACGCATAACGTAAATAAATTAATTTTGAACATGGGGATTATTTCTGGGGGGTCAATAGGAAATTTAAAAAAAAAGTTTTGCAAACTGTACCGTGTGACATACCAAATGAAAGGGCTTGTTGTAAGGGTCTCAAATATATTTTTTTTATAATTTTAAAATAAACAGTTTTAAAGTTGTTTAAGAAAACAAATGAAAATTGACCATTCCGCCCTCCTATCTCCGAAGCTACTGAACTTAAAATTTTGAAAAAATACAGGAAGTAGTTCTTTACTTATAAATTACAGGAAAATTAATAATAATAATCTATGGACTGAACATAACTTGGTAAATCTTTTATCAAAACAATATTGCGCGTTAGGTTAGGGTACCATACGTTCAAATGAAAAACAGAACCCTTGTAGGATCACTCGTGTGTCTGTCTGTCCGTTGTTTTTTTCACTAGTCGTCTTTGATAATATCAAGAAAATACTTCGATATCTAAAATGGCAATCACTTAAGCCCGTTGTGGTAGGCCCCGTGACCTTTTTCTAATGCAAGTCTTTGTATATATTGCGTAAATTCTTTTTCGCTTGTAGTCATATATGGAACGCTGCCTGCTGCGATTCGAAGGATGTATGGTCGCAATGTGCCCATTGATTCCTTATAAAGGACTGTGCAGCTGTTCTTATAGCTACGCATCAGAACGTTTCAAACTAAGCACCTACCAGCAAAGTCCAATACATAAATATCATTAATCGTAAGTTTAAAAATCAACATACGAAATCCATTATTGGTCAAATATTTACGAAAGGCAAATTAATAAATGCAGAAATTAAAAGACAATGTTGTGGCAAGGACTTTTGTGTAGGAAAAATAGGGAATTAATAAAAGTTGTAATTTACTCAGTACATTTTGCTAGTTATATTCGCGAATTTGTGAAAAAATGATTAATTGTATTATTAATTATTTGTTCAATGTTGACTCGATTAAAAGTAAAATGTGTGGTATTTAAATATAGCAAGTGTAACACTGAATGCTGTTTAACATTATATGCAAGCGCTTGGGCAGGATCTATAAATATGCTACTATTACATATAAGTAGTGAAAGGACATTTTGTAAATAAATTCAAACCTAATTCTTTATTACAATTTCTCCGTTTACGTAACACATATCGATCAGGCCATAAGAAATGCTACACTACATACAATTCCATTCGGATTAAAAGTTTATTTTTTTACCAGTGTTGAAAAACGTTCATCGTGAAAATAGTTGCAAAAACATTATTTGTTATTACAGAGAACTAGGACAACAAAATAGTTCCATTGGCTCTATTTAATTCATTATTACCTACTCCAAATAGAAATAAGACATCTGCAAGAACTTGGCTTGTTTCTTTTAAAGATTTAAAGTACCGGTCATGCACAATGTGCAGGTCGTAATTTGAAACGGAGATTCATTATTTTCTCGGCAAAGCATGTTGCGCAATTTTTTTCCGTCGCTGTAGAAGAAATTTCTTCAGTCTGATGGGGCCATTTTTTTCCTTTTGTTTTGACATTAATGTTTAGCAATTACCACATATCTTGCCAGTGTCCTGTTCTCTTGTGAGGAAACATCTGTATACGGGGGAAAATTGGGAAATAATTGTCACTTGACGTTTCCACCGTTAGATATTGAAAATATTGACCCTCTTCACGTAAATCAGCAGGAATTTGACCTTAGATTTATGACGTATGGGAATTATTCATTAAATTTTACATTAATTTTTATATCCCATTATGGTTAATTTAG